AAAAGATAGAGATAGAAATTACACACGACAAAATTTAAATAATCAAAACAAAATAAAGATCATAAAATAATGATTAAAAAAAATTTCACTATTAAAAAAAAAACTTATGAAAAATAAGAATAATAATAAAAAAACTCATTATGTTATGTCATTATTTTAATTGCTAGTTATTATACATATTTATAATAAAATGCATGTTGTATAAAACAATATCGAATTAGCAAAATTATATTTTTCAATTTTGTAGATTTTTCTTTTAACTAACTTTGCGATAACACACGTAATATATGTTTTGGTCTCTCTATTCTCTGAATTTTTTCACGCGATTCTTTTAAATAGTTATTTTAAACTCTATATTTATATAGATGAACACATAAGAATGTTGTATGGCTCACTTTGTGACAACGCGTGGGATTGTGCTAATAAATACTATTATGTAAGTAATAACAATTATAATCGTTTTATTCATGGTAAAAGACACTATTATTATAGTCAAAAGAAATTTGGAGTGTTTAATGAAATAGTTTTAACTTCACTCAAATATAATATTTATTTAAATAAAAATGATTTTTTTTATTTTTTGAATTAAAAATAAATTATTAAACTTATATTGTCTAGACACTAGAAATATCTATTGATTTAAATACCGGTGATGAAATTTAGTTCATATATTTAATTTTAAAAAAATTATTGAGATGTCGGTTCTAGAGAAAATAAGTTTTTATTCTTTTTGCAGACATACACATGACGAACTACTTGAGTAAATTTTAAATTAATCCTTTTAGTTTTGAGAAATGAATTAATTAATTTCTTTTAATTTAAAAATTAATTATATAATTTCTATTTCACTCCTTTTCAATTTATTTATATTTTTTATTTTAAAAAATAAGTAAAAAAAAATATGAAAGGATTATGAAAAAGATGGTATTTTATAAAATAAAGTGATATTAAATAATCATGGTCAATATTGATCGATAGATTAAAAATTAGTTTTTTAAATAAAAGGAACTAATTAATTTATTTTCAAGAAAAATATAGCCACTAATTTATAATTTACACCTAATCACTTGTGTGAAGTTACTATAAAAGTATAGTTACTTCAACTATAGAAAAGGTGTAGGGTTAAAGCAGGAAATACAGCTCCTAAAACTTCGAGTCCAGGACATGTAATAAAGGCTTTTAATAAATTGTGTACTGGAGAACAAGGCTTCGAGTCTTTTTCGGACCCAAAGTAGTGAAGTTCAAGTTCTTGACTAAAAGGAGAACCTAGTTTTTATGGATCTTTGGAGGCATGTAAAGGTTTAGTCCATTCTTTTTTCTCTAAAATTTTGAGGTCCAAGTTTTGATGAATATACTGGTAGTGAATGAGATCGAGAGACGAAATCAATATATGCAGTGAAGCACAAGCTGCACGGGGAGAGGGAAGCCAGAGAAAGCAAGCTTAGAGCGTGTGCATAAATGCACTGTGAACTTGGCATTTAATGAATCGTTTTTTTTTTTTAATACATTTTCCTAGTACTTGTACTGTTTTCTCACTCTATTTATTACAAATTCTCTGTGTTTCACTCAAAAACCCAAGCCAAGAAACTCAAGATGAGACAAAGATTCGTAGACTTGGAATCTAAAGGCTGCAAAAATGTATTAAAGCTAGCCAAAACATCTCGTGAAACAAGAGGGTATTGCAATATACACTATTACAACCAGCTCCTCAAGAAACTAACAAGAGAGCCTTGCTCGCACGGTCTATAAACAAAGGATCCTCGTGATGAAGAGCTCTTAAATTTCACGAGTTTCATATTCTCACACAGAGCCAAGAAATGCTACCCAAGTCTCTCTTGTTTGAATTCTCTCCAGCTCCTTCAAATACCCTGCAATTCTTTCGCCAAATCATACAGAAGAATCCTTGCATAACTGTGGTCTTAACATGGACTCCAAGGAATCCAAAACGCACCTTTTCTTTTCCATTCTTTTGTTCAACTTCTTTGTCTTCCTCCATGCAGACACGGTACTCCAAACCTACATTGTTCAGCTCCATCCACATGGCACAACTAGTATTTTGTTCTCCTCCAAGTTTCAATGGCATCTCTCATTTCTTGAAAGGACTGTTTCATCTGAAGAACACCATTCTTCTCGACTTCTCTATTCTTATAGTTCTGCCATGGAAGGTTTTGCAGCTATTCTCTCTGAATCAGAGATTGAGTCAATGCAAAAGTTGCCTGATGTTGTTGCTATTAGACCAGATACGAGGTTCCAAGTTCAGACAACATATTCCTACAAGTTCTTGGGACTTGGCCCCACAAGAGAAGATGCTTGGTCTAAGTCTGGATTTGGTCGTGGAGCGATAATTGGCATGCTTGACACTGGAGTTTGGCCCGAAAGTCCAAGCTTCAATGATCAAGGAATGCCTCCGGTTCCCAAGAAGTGGAGAGGGATTTGCCAAGAAGGGCACGACTTTAATTCGTCAAATTGTAATAAAAAACTCATAGGTGCAAGGTTCTTCACTAAAGGTCATCGTATGGCTTCCATGTCAGCATCACCGGACTTTGTACAGGAATATGCATCACCAAGAGATTCGCATGGACATGGCACTCACACGACATCAACTGCTGGAGGAGTTTCAGTTCCAATGGCTAGTGTTCTTGGTCTAGGTTCTGGTGTGGCTCGAGGCATGGCCCCCGGTGCACACATTGCAGTGTACAAAGTATGCTGGTTCAGTGGTTGTTACAGCTCTGATATCCTAGCAGCAATGGACTTTGCAATTAGAGATGGAGTTGATGTCCTCTCCCTCTCTCTGGGTGGCTTTCCATTGCCACTTTTTGCAGATACCATTGCAATTGGCAGTTTTCGAGCAATGGAGCATGGTATTTCAGTTGTATGTGCAGCAGGGAACAATGGTCCAATTGAAAACTCAGTTGCTAATGAAGCTCCATGGATTGCTACTGTTGGTGCAAGCACACTTGATAGGAAATTTCCAGCTTTAGTTCAATTTGATGATGGGCAATTCCTTTATGGAGAATCCATGTATCCCGGGAACTGGTTATCAAGCACCACAAAAGAATTTGAACTGGTTTATGTAACTGGCGGGGACAATGGGAGCGAATTTTGTTTCAGAGGTTCTCTCCCAAGGGCAAAAGTTCGTGGAAAAATGGTGGTTTGTGACAGAGGTGTTAATGGGAGGACAGAGAAAGGACTTGCTGTGAAGGAGTCTGGTGGGGCTGCAATGATCTTAACAAATACGGCGATCAATCTGGAGGAGGACTCGGTTGATGTCCACGTCTTGCCTGCAACATTAATTGGTTTTGACGAAGCAGTTCGCTTGAAAGCTTACATAAACTCTACTAGTAAACCTAGAGCTCGAATTGTGTTTGGAGGAACTGTTATTGGGAAATCCAGAGCACCAGCAGTCGCGCAGTTTTCAGCCAGAGGACCAAGTTATACCAACCCCTCAATCCTCAAACCAGATGTAATTGCACCTGGAGTCAACATAATTGCAGCTTGGCCTCAAAATTTAGGTCCCTCCAGTCTTCCAGAAGATCCTAGAAGGGTAAATTTCAGTGTCATGTCAGGGACATCCATGGCTTGTCCCCATGTTAGTGGCATTGCTGCACTCATCCGCTCAGCTCACCCCAAATGGACTCCTGCAGCTGTTAAATCTGCAATAATGACTACTGCAGATATAACTGACCATTCAGGACATCCAATAATGGATGGCGATAAACCAGCAGGAGTTTTCGCCATTGGAGCTGGACATGTAAACCCAGAAAGAGCCCTCAGTCCAGCACTGATATATGATATCAGGCCAGATGATTATGTCACTCATCTATGCACACTTAGATACACGAGGTCAGAAATTTTTACTATCACGCACAGGAATGTGAGTTGCAATGATTTATTGCAGATGAATAGGGGTTTCAGCCTCAATTATCCTTCCATCTCTGTAATCTTCAAGCACGGAACAAGAAGTAAGGTGATAAAGAGGCATGTAACGAATGTTGGGAGTCCTAATTCCATCTACTCGGTGGAAGTAACAGCACCTGAGGGAGTCAAAGTGAGAGTAAGACCCCAAAGGCTAATTTTCAAGCACATAAATCAAAATTTGAGTTATAAAGTATGGTTTATATCAAGAAAGCAGGCAGGAAGAGGGAAGGTAGACTTTGCACAAGGGCATTTGACGTGGGTGCACTCTCAAAATAGACTTTACAGGGTTAGAAGCCCCATTTCAGTGACCTGGAAGTAACATGGGTGGTGATGATTTTATGAGCTATAATTGTGTAGGCTTTTCTTCGCTATTAGTATTATCTCAGAGGATTATGATCATTAAGATTTGGTGGAGTTTGCGGTGACGAAGAAAGTTAATCTCTTATTAGTTGAAGTTTAATATATGGTTGAACTCTGAAATCAGCTACGTACTGAGTTCATCTTTTTCGAGGTAAAATAAAGTTTTACTATCCTTCATTCTTGAGCAAAACCACATAGTTGAGGCAGATTATGAAATTGGAATGTTATTCTTCACTCAACGAAGCAATAAATACATATAGAATGCCAGACGTTGTCCATGATAAACAGGCTATGCATTGGTGCCGTCATATTTCGATATTGAAGGTGAATAATTTGCAAAGAGATGCAAGGAAGTAAACAGTAGTAAAAAAACACATCCTCTGCTGATCAATAACTGAACGCCGCCCCACACTTACAAAACTTTACCTTAATGGCCATTCATCCATCGTACCTTAAATAGAAATTTGAAATTATAGATTTCATACACGAGAGACGTAAGTTCTAAAACTTGAGCCATCTCACTTGTACATTGAAGTAATGAACTGAAGTGGAAATGAACACCACTAACAACTGCAAAATTTGTTAAAGATAGGCAAAATGTGATATTTGCAGCAAACCTAGTTGCGAATTAACCAAATTTCTTCAATTTTTACTTTACTAATTTAGAAAAACAATAAAATGACGGATGAAAGAAGGAAGAGAAGGAAAGGATATACATTGCCTCATTTCTTGACAAATTCTAAGCCATTTGCATTAGCATATCTCTCCATGAATCTCATGAATCTGTCCCAATCTCTAGGGGTCCGCATGACATATTTTGCTTCAATCGTTGCTGGCTTGCCATTGACGAATTTGGCACTAACATCAACTGATTGAAGAACCCCTTCCTCATCAATCATGTAAAAACCAGTGATATCACCAACTTCAGCAGATGAGTCAAAAACTGAAGGTTGATCAAAGGTGAATATAGCCATACCATTCGTACCATCTCTCGACTTAGTTAGCCTTACATTCGGTACTGTCTGTTCATCAGTTCCTTGAACGAACTGAATTGTTGGTTTGACCATCATTGTAATAAGTCCAGAGGTCTGCGATTTTCGCCTGATTGAGGGCAACCGCAGGCGAGGCAAGCACAAAGATTGGCCATTGAACAGCGTGTGTGAACTATTATGCACAGCCCAAGATCTCGAGCCTGCAAAACAGGATAGACATAGAGATTACAGGCGTTGCAAATAGCAAATTGAAGTGGTCATGTTGGATTTGGTTCACCGCACAGTCAACTCTACCATACTGCACATTTCTAGCAAAGAAGATGGATGAATTCAATTCTCTCTCCCTCATCAATGACAATGTGTTTTAGCACATGAAAAACCACTAATCACCAACTTCTCCAAAAAATAAACCATCCTTCCTCATTCCTCATAATTTAACTGACAACTAATGTGTTTCTCCTCCGACTTTCAGTTTGGCAAATGTATGGTTTTACTGTCCTAAAGTAATTCTCGACTCCTTCTTCCTACACACTATGCATAAGAGTCGAAATCAAAAGAACATAATAAATAGATACATAAAAGCAATGATCACCCCATCTTGTTGAGGGAGGAGATAAGTAACAAGAGTAAGTACCTAAGAAAGAACGGGGTTGCTGCTGCAAGTGATGTGCCACAGGAGAGGCTAATGAAAGAGATTGCAGAGTTGCCATTGCAGTGTGAGTAATGAATAATAGACTACAGAGACAGAGAAAGAAGATAGTAAAGAGACTAGTGCTGTATGGGTGAGGTGTTCCGAGAGGCGAGTATGGTGTGTAAGAAGGACAGCCATTCACCTTCTTAGCACCAAAACCAAAAAGATTGGTGGCTGCTAACACATGTTAAGATTATTCCTAGCTCAAGTAAGGTACTACTGGCCTGAGCCTAACCATGAAGAGCTGGAAAAATCTCAACTTCTAATTTGGACACCTGGGTGGCTTTTTTTTTTTTAGTGTTTTGGACCTAATCCTTGATGGGCCTACTTGCTTGAGAGGTGGATCATACTAAATCATTGGCTTGCTTGAGGTTGGAAAAATCACTCACTCTACTTAATTTGCATGCCCAACTCTTGCTATGATATAGCCTGATACTGTACTGCTGTGTTCTCAAGTTTTACATGGTATAGCATTTGTTTAATCAAAGGGTTGGTATAACAGCGAAGGAGATATGTTTTTTTTAATGCACAAGACTGATGTCGATGGTGTGTTCTTAAAATCGTTCATAAATAAGATTTAATTTCGATTGAGATGCATACAAATTGATCGAAATATATCACTTGTCATCAAATTAAATAAATAAATAAATAAATGATGGCTTGAATCATTCATTGATAGTATAATTCGACAGCATTGAAAAAAAAGTTATTTGAACTTTACATATATGCTCGATATTTTAATTAATTAATTTGATTAATTTTTATTACGTATTAATTCATGTCATTTTTCTTTAATTTTGACATGGACCCAAATTACATGACAAATGGATTGAATTAAGAATGAGCCTAATTCAATACAAGGTTTTGGGTCAACATGATGGACACGGGTATTCTAACAAGCCTAATGTCCGTGTCTTGTTCTTGAGATACATTAGGAAGATTGACTTGGTGGGTTCGGAGCAAGGCCTATTAAAGAAAAACACAATTATTATTTTATTTAGCTTTTGCTAGCAAGTTAAAACAATTAAGCCCAAACCTAAATCTTTCAAGTCAAATTTGATCGTCCAAACTTTGATGACTTGATATGATCATAGAGGTCAAGGGTCATCTTCTTTCACTATAAATACCAACCTTATATTATTATGAGGGATCGAAATTTTGTATAAAAAAACTTTTGACTTCGGAATTTTTCAATCTTTAGCAAAAGAAACACTTAAACTCTTCATCTTAAAACTCTCTTACTCACACACTAGACAACACCCGAAATTTTAACTATTTAGACTTTGACTACTTACATGTCAACCACCTAACTTGTGGCTTGCTAGTATTGTATGTTTCTCCTCCCACGCCTCTCACTATTTGTATTATTTCTACTTAGTTGGTTGATTATTGCTTCTATAAGTCACAACATTAGCTCTTTGGATCTTGATTAACTTATCGATTAGTCATCTAATCAGTTCTCAAAAACCCCATCCTCTATATTTTGGTGACTCCGTTAGGGAGTTAGTGATTGTGAAGAATAATAGTCAATGATAATATCCTACATGATCCTAATCACAATGCCGATAGTGCTAGTTTGCTTAACACTAAGAATGTCAACAACCGTCCAAACCCTTAAATTGGTAGTGGCAATTTCCCAACTCTACTAGGAGATGGTTTACCTTGACTCATTGCTCGGTTCCTTGCCACAATTGTTCCTTTCTCGATCTTCGAGTCCATGATTGAAGTTTTAAAAGTTTTTCGGGATGCTCAACTCGAATTACGGCGAGAGCAACAACGGATTTTCAAATTCCTTCAAGGTAAAAGTGTTGTGTTTATCCGGGCCCTCAATAATATCACACAACTATTGTCTATGGGTAGAACTGTAAGGTTTCCTATGGACTTAATCAAGTTTACACGCAGCGAAAATCATAAACTTTACAATAGAAACATGCCAAGATCACATGTATGTTAAAATAATCAATAAAGGTTGAGACTTTTACCTTAAGTTAGATGCCCAATCTTTATTCAATAAGGTGAGCTCGAATCAATTTCTCTTCCTTGCTCCTTTTTCTACCGATTTGAACAATGGGAGACACCGCCTTAACGCGAATGCCCTCTACCGTCTCACACGTAAAAACCTATAGGATTAAGATTATGTGTGCTAGCACTCAAACAATCTCACTTTTATTAATTGATGATTTCGGTTTTGAAGAAAGAAAAAAAGAAGGGGGGCCTTGAGTTAGGAGGAGAGCAAAACCTATTTTCTCTCTTCTTTTATGTGTGTCGAATTTTGTCTTAAAGTGAGAGAAACTTTTTCTCTCCTCTTTTATTTTATTTTATTAGGAATAGATTTGTTTCCAATTTGGATGGCAATCTACTTCCTAAAAAATAGGGATCACATTCCTAATCAAATTCCTATTTAATTATTCTATAAGAATAAGGATCTGTTTCTCTCTTTTTAATTAAATAATATATAATCATTTAATTAAAATACTATTAGGGTTGAATTTAACATTTAAATAAGCCCCAACCGAAAATCAACTTTAGTCCACTCAATTATGTTTTAATTAATAACATAATTTAATGGCCCGATAAGTAAGATAGTTTAAATCCAAATCTAGATTTTTAAAATTTGCAATCCCGTAGGTCCATTCAATGTTGGCAATGGGCCTAAATCTAATTTATAGACTATAAATCATAAGCGGTCTCTAGCAAGACACTATGACTACCCAAATTGAATGAATGTCAATATAAATTAACATAACTTAGTTGTAACCTTATACAACCCTTTGCCTCTCGATATCATAATCAACATAAGGCATGGAACATGTCATCCTTATTTATTGCTAAATCATTTCTTGATCTATTAGTGACAACGACTAAATTAAATAAATGATAACACTTATCATTTCATTTGGGCATGGCCATGCACTACTCGGCTTCACTAATCAAGTGGCCGATGATATCTTCTCTTAATAAAGAGAGTGGTAATCCCTTCACTTCATTCATGTTTCTTAGCATGAATCGTGGCATACCCAATCATACCCATACTTGTCATTTAGTTACAAATGACATTAGGCGTATGTCAAAGTATGCAAGGATTCATCTAAAAATCCATAACGATTTCGTGTCGAGGGATTCAAGTATAAGCATTTGCATGAGAATCACTTATGACTTTCAATTATGTAGTGTTCTCATGAGCGGATCAATCCAAACACACCGATCCTTAGCATGTATCTATGTTCCCCGATTGATATCCCATATCCATGACTAGTAAAACATGATCATCTCACAAAGTACATACTAGTCTTAGTTTATTGCCATTCCCATGACAATAATCGACTAGGGACATTTAGAATAGTATTCTTTTATGCTTCAAGGTTTTACTATCAAATCACGTATTTGATAACTTAAGCAGAATTATTCTATTCATGGATATTTTATCTATTTTAAACATGCACAAGAATGATAATAAGATAAAACAATGCCTCATATGTATATATATAGTAAAGGAGTCAAAATACAATGTATTAGGCTAGGGCATACACTAACAATCTCCCACTTGCACTAGTCCCAATCAAGCATAATCCTAAGACTAAAAGATCTAACATGACCCTCATGCTTTGGCCTAGCTAACTACTTAGTTAGAGGATCTGCTACATTGTCTTCTTCAGGAATCTTGCATATCTTCACATCTCCTCTCTCGATGATTTCTCGAATAAGATGGAAGCTCCCGAGTATGTGTTTGGATTTCGGTATGATCGGGGCTCCTTAGCTTGTGCGATGGCCCCGTTTTTATCATAATAGAGGTTTACTGGATCTAGGGTGGTCGGAACAACTCCTAGTTCAAGTAACAAACTTCTTAATCCAAACTCGTTTCCTTTGCAGCATCTAATGCCGTAATGTACTCGAACTCGTGGTAGAATTGATGAAGATGTCTTGCTTTAAGCTTTTCTAGCTTACAACACCTCCATTCAAACAAAACACATAACCAGATTGCGATCTTGAGTCATCGACATTAGTTTGGAAAGCAACATCGTTGTAACCATTTACAATTAGCTCTTCCCGACCACCGTACACTAAGAAATATCCTTTAGTCCTTCTCAAGTACTTAAGAATGTTTTTGACGAGAGGTCCAATGATTTTCACCTGGATCCTATTGGAACTCGCTTGTCATACTTAGTGCGTGTGCAACATCCAATCTAGTACATAGCATGGCATACATGATAGATCCTATAGCCGATGCATAAGGAATCTTACTCATATATTCCCTTTGTTCTCTTATAAAAGGACAATCCTTCTTACTTAGAATCACGCCTTGACTCATAGGAAGGAACCCTTTATTGAAGTCAACCATACCGAAACGTTTCAGTACTTTGTCTATGTACTTTTCTTGACTTAGTCCTAAGAGCCGTTGTGATCTATCTCTATAGATCTTTATACCTAGTATAGTTTCAACTTCGCCCAAGTCTTTCATTGAAAAACACTTCCCTAACCATTGCTTAACTCTTAACAATATTGGGATATCATTTCCAATGAGCAAGATGTCATCTAGATATAAGACCGGAAAAACTACTATACTCCCACTAACTTTCTTGTACACACAAGGCTCATCTTCATTTTTGATAAAACCAAACTATTTGATTGCTTCATCAAAGTGAAGATTCCAACTTTGGGATGCTTGTTTCAATCCATAAATGGATCTTTGAAGTTTGCATACCTTTTTAGGATTCTTAAGATTGACAAAACCCTCGGGTTGTGTCATGTACACATCCTCGAGAAGGTTTCCATTAAGGAAAGTCGTTTTGACATCCATTTGTCATATTTCATAGTCATAATATGCGACTATGAAAAGTAAGATCCTAATGGATTTGAGCATGACTACTAGAGAGAAGGTTTCATTATAGTCAATACCATGAGTTTGTCTAAAACCTTTCACCACCAGTTGTCCTTTGAAGGTGTTATCGGCCTTTTGTTTGAAAATTCATTTGCATTCAATGATCTTAGTACCTTCGGGGGGTCAACCAAAATCCATAC